TATTTTTCATTTCTTAATCGGGATGCTTGCATCAAATCCTACTTTTCCTTTGTTAAGTTTAACAAAATAATCTCAGTAAGCCTTGCAAAGAGCCTCCTTTTTGTCTTGTTGATTTGTCCATTGTTTTTCTGTTGTATGATTCTGTTTTTCTGCTCTAATCTTTGTGATTCCTTTTCTTCTGGTTACTCAGGCTTATTTTACTACCCATGTTTGACTCGTTGAAGACATTGAGTTAAACTGTTGATTTTATTTTTTTTTAAATTTTTTTATGTGTACAGTTATTCCTAAAATTACCCTCTGAATACTGTATCTCAAAAGTTTCAGTACGTTATATTTTCATTCTTATTTGTTACAAGGAATTTTAGGATGTAATGACATCCTATATTTTCAATTACCTGGTAGTTTTTAAGCAAAGTGTTTTCCATTTGCTAGCATTTTTACCCTATTGTCAATTTTTAATTTTGTAGTGCTGTGATCTAAGAAAACGGTTTTTACTATCTCAATATTTTAAAGCTAATTAAGGTTTATTTTGTACCATAACATGCGTTCTATTCTGAGGAAATTCTATGTGAACTGGAAAAGAATGTATATTGCACTATTGTTGGATGGAATGTTTCATAAATGTCTAAGAGGTCAAGTTGATTGTGTTATTTACGTACTTCTGTTGCTCTACTGTTTCTTTACAAGTGTTCTGTCCTTTCCAGAAAAAGTGGCATATTGAAGTCTTCTACTATTATTGTGAAATTATCTATTCCTCTCTTCAGCTCTATAAGAGTTTAATGTATTTTCAGGGGCTTTCATTGGATACATTGATATTTATTATGGTTATAGCTTCTTGTTCAATTTTTCTCTTTAATCAGTAAGTAGTGCCTTTATTTGTTTCTCTTGATGGATTTTGCCTATTTTGTTAGAGATTAAGATTGAGATCCTATTCTTTTTGATTGCCATTAACTTGTTATATTTTTTCCTATACTTTGATTTTTAGTCCATATTTTTCTTTATGTTTAATGTATATCCTTGTAAGCAGTAGATTGATGCATCTTGTTTTCTTATCCTTCCTGTTACTCTCTGCATCTTGAATAGTGCATTTAATTCATTTACAGCATTATTGTTGTTAGATATGAATTTATTGCTGTCA